CTCAGTTAATCATCTTTCCTTCAACTATAGTATTCTTCAAAGTATGTTAATTCTTCATTTATTCTCTAAGAAAGTGCATACTGTGTTTATTTTTCTAAGGTCCTAAAATTACATTCATAAACAGGATGATTGTAAGCCAAAATCTAATATCAAATAATCTTTTTATTATTATTATCTTGTGGTTTATAAGCTTATATTGAATTTATGTAATTTGTAATATTGATTTTACTAAAAATGGGAAATGTCCAGAAAAACTCTCATTTTCATAGAAGCTTAAATCTTATCAAAAGATATTGCTTTATCTCTTTTTCTTCAATCTTATATGTAAATTTCTTAAAATTGGCTCTCTTTCATGACAGATAAACTGTTGATTTTAAATCCTCCTTCAGATATATTTGGAATCCTGTTCGTTGATTTGCTACTCAAAATGATCATTACATTAGAGATGCTACTTTTTTTCTTTCTATTCAGATATTTCCTGTGAGAATCCACCCAAAGTGAAAAATGCTATTATACTAAGTGAGAAGCCTACTTATCTACCTGGTCAGAGCGCCCGTTATGAATGCATCAAACCTTTTGAACTGTTTGGGGAAGTAGAAGTGATATGTTTAAATGGGACCTGGACACAACCCCCTCAGTGTGCAGGTAAAGTATCTTATTTCCCCTCAAATTTTAGAGAATATATTAAGGACTGGATATGTCAATATAAATATATAATGACATAGTTCTTATGGAATCTTTTTTTTATCTCAAATAAAATGATGGTGCTTAAAATCCAATTTTTTCTTTTTGTGGACTGCATAGTGATATCTATTTATTTTATGAAAGATTTGGCCAGATTAGGACAGTTGGAATCATGGAAAATTCTCTTTTTTTTTAATTTTTATTTTTAGAGAGAGAGAGTGTGAGCATGAGTGTGAGCAGTGGGGGGAGGGGCAGAGGGGAAGGAGAGAGAGAATCTTTAGCAGACACCACACTGAGCGTGGAGCCTGCTGTGGGGCTTGATCTCACAACCCTGAGATCATGACCTGAGCAGAAATCAAGAGTCAGACGTTTAATCGACTGAGCCACCAGGCACCCAGAAAATTCTCTATCTTAAGCATTAAGATACTTAGTTATTTCCTGAGGAATAAATGTATTAAAGATATGGGGGGGCGCTGAGTGGCTCAGTCAGAGCAGAACCTGCTTCCCCCTCTGTCTGCTGCTCCCCCTGCTTGTGCGCTCTCTCTCTCTCTGACAAATAAATAAAATCTTTTTTTAAAAATGATATGCTGAGAACATTTGACAGCTCTATGAAATTTCACTTTGAGACACACAATCAACAACTGGGGCATGTTCATAGAATCTGATATAAATTTGGGCTTCTTCAGCATGTGGACTATATAAAGGTAGGTTACTAGCTGAGCTCAACCAGAGAATTAGTGTATATAGAAAAAAAGTCTGAGAACTTGGTCATAGGACACTCCAGTAATTAGAATTTAGGAAATAAGAGGACCCAACAAAGGAGATATTATAGCTGCTTGTTTGTCAAATCAACTTTTGCCCGGCATATATATTTTCCAATCTTTTACT